CGTTGGGCGAGGAGGGAGAACGGGTGGCGTAATGGCCGGGCCCGTGGCCATGTATTGCGCAATGGCGGCGCGTAGGTAGACTCTCATGGAGTCTACGGATTGTCTATTTGACCCGTTGGTCAAAGGGAGGAGGATTGCTTCGACGCCAGAGATGGCGGCGGAGCAGAGGGCCAGATTTGCCGCTATTTCGGCGGCGCGTCGTTGTTCAGCTTCGACTATTGGTCGGAGCTCGAGGGGACACTCTGCTTTCGTGGCAGCTTTTGGCTGCGACGTTGATGTTGACGCTGCTATGGGTGCAGCGTTTTCCGACGGTTTTGACACGGTCGGAGGTGGTTTGGATGATTCTCCAATCCCGTGGGGGACGGAGGTTCGTTGAGGAATTTCCTCAACAATTTCGACTGACCCGATCATGTCAGTATCGGGTTCAGCGACGGCGGGGAGGGCTTTTTCCTTCCCTTTGATGGAGACCTTGCTCATCTCCGCGCATTTCGGAGACTGGACAAGGTCAGTTAATTGTTCGAGAGCCCTCGGGTGGACTATCGTGTTGTCCAACTTGGCGTTGGGACGCTTTTTTCGAACAGGTGGCATGGTGAAAATGCCAGTGACTCGATCACAATTTTTTTTGATAAAATGCAACGAGAGCGAAAGGGAGGGAGAGGGGAAAAAGGTGAAGATTCGATAATTCGAATTTCAAAAAATTGTGTGTGTTGTGAGCAAGCACGACGTTAAGTAATTAAAATTAAACCCCTTCAATCAACATTAGATTCTTAACATATTAATCGTTTAGGTGCTAATTTTACTACTTGAGTTTACGGCTTTCTAGCACATTTAGCTCCTCTCTGACCCAGGTCACACCTTGTACAGTGCTCCTTTCCTCTTTTGTTACTTGTAAGATCATTGATATATTGCCCATAATGAATAGCCATTCAGCTCAGTGTTTACCCATGGAATCCGACTACCTTTTCCACGGAACCTTGTACCCTAAAAAATAAAATGGTAGCGATGGAAATTGCGTGCACGGGAGAAAGTCTCAAGAAACCTGCAGCCCCAGCCAGGCGAACCTAGACACCGGGGCCACATGAGGTGCGCATATTCATCTATATCTCCCTTCTTTGTAACATTCGAGGCCGTCTTGATTCAATCCACCATCTCTGTATCGGGTGCTGGGTACGCCTTGGAAGCTCATCGGATGGCTTTTCCTCCATGACCAAGAGTTGGTGATGAGTAGGGCTCCGACCCTACAATCTGATCTGATCGTGGTAACTTCATGATAATGGTGATAGGGGGATGTGATTGGAGATGAAGACGATATAGACTGCATAAGCCATTGGGAATCCTTATCGAAGTGAGGACTTTGTTATTCAATATCGGCTCTATAGTCCTCACAGTGAGAGCTGGAGATTCGTAGGGGACACCGCCGGCAGGTGTTGAGAATAGTCTCCCAACCCATAGGTGAAGTTTCGTCAAACTACTGACGGAGTCTCATTGCTGTAACTTGCGTGCTGTTTTTGATCCCTGCGTTCTACTATGCTTATCGATCACTTCGTGCTAGACATTTTTGCTCAACATGGATCAGATCAAAGCGAGCTAGTTCAGTTAAAACAGGGCAAGGATAAAGAACTACATGTTTACTTTGTAGTAGCCCTCTTAATTTTAGACTTGGCAAGGTCTATATATAAGATCTAATTTAGACAGATCGATCAACGCGTAGGCTGAATTCTTTGATCATTCCTCTTTATGCCATCATAGTCCTTTTTAGACTAAGCTATTTAATAAACGAATGTCTACGCTGAGTTGAAGATCAGCTCTTGACTTAATGGAAATAATTCATGCCCAAAGTAGCCGTAAGTAGGACATTTTTGTACATGGCTGGGTAGATATCAACTTGATTGCTAGTTTTTGGAGACTAGACTAATCAGTGGCGGAGATATACAGGGCACAAATAGGATATATTTAACAAGAAAAACCCATATCGCGATAATTGTTGGCAGTCCAGATATGTAGGATGGTTTACGCTGGCTAACGCATATTGCATCGTATTCTTATCACCTCTAGAGGTTTGGTTTGGTTTGTTTATCAACGTGCTAGGTGAAGTGATTCCCGTCGCACTCCTACTGGAGCTTAAGCACGAGTGGGGCCGGGCCGGATCAGGTTAACTACCGTAAAGTACATCTACCTCGTCCCACATAAATGACCGGACCACTTCAGACTTCGCCCATGTGTTGAATCATATCAAGCCCAACCGTCCAGAGAACCACCTTTTGGCGCGCCGAAGCGCAAATTCCTCCTCAGCCTCGGCCACCACGAGCCCGAGCCCTTGACACCTTTGTGATCTGTAACCTATCTCTTCCATTCAGTCCTAGTTTTGGCTCGTCTCAGCATCTCCTCATCTCATCCAGGGGTCGTTTTCTTCATTGGAGGCCTCGTCCAGTCGCCCACCAAGGCCTCCTTAGTTTGTGTTCCCTTTTGTTCCTTCATGTAGCAACCCTCTATCCTTAAGCCAGCTTCGTCATCCCAGAAACTTTGTAGAATATCCACACCTCCGGCCTTGCCCTGTCGCTGCCGTACCCCTAACCGTGGAGATCGAAAACGCGACTGAAAGCTCAAGACCGAGGCAGCGGTGCCCCAGCCTTTGTCGAACGCTCTACTTGGTGTGCCGGCGAAATGTCATACGTATTTCATCGGTGGCGATTCGTCGCAGGTCGAGTTGTTGGTGCCCTTGGCCGAGGTGAGGACGCATTTAAGGCCGATATTTCGACCGTACCTTCACAGAGACTGGCAGTTGCGGAGGTTCCGAAATCATCTTGCTTCTTTGACGGCAATTTGACTTTTGGAGGTATGGGATAGCTTCGGTAGGTGGTGAGATGATTTTAGAGAGGGCCGCGAGATAAGTTTGGCTGGGAGTGATTTTGCAGTGAAGAAAAATAGATCTTGAATGTGTCGGTTGTTGTGATACGAACATCAGACAGGTTATAGGCTGTCTGCATTTCGTATCTGGGGTGTAGATGGTTGATTTCGTCGAGTTGTGCAGTCGTGAAATCTCTGCAAGTCGTATTTTCGACCAAAAATAAGCCAACACCACTCCTCCCGATCGCCAACTCGACAAAACCTCTCAAAATAACCCTTTATTGCGACTGAATCTCGGCTCTGGGAGAATAGTTCAGTCCCAGGTTCGTAGAGGACACCACTGACAGCTGTTCAGCCTTCGTCCTCCGTCACCTCTAGAGGGGTTCGCCCCCTGTAACTTTTTATACATTAGATGAGCATATTATTCGGGTAGACCAGCCAAGTATATTGTGAATGTAAAGGAAGATAACATTTGAGTAATCAGATTGCGTGTAGTAAAGTAATTTCTTGGGTCAAAGGCGAAAAGAGGTCTAGGGAGAGTGTATAGTTAGATGATGTACTTCAGAGGTAGCTCTTAGTCCAAATGTAAATTACTATCTTCAACGTAAATACTTGCTGCTTTTTTTTATTTTATCCTTGACGATGACTGTCGATAAATATACAGTCCCCATAACTATTCCGCCAAAGTTCATCTGCAGGCCTTACGAGGTGATCTTTAGTTTGCTCTTAGAAATCTTGAACGATTAAGTAAGATAGCTAGTAAATGGGCAAGTGGTTCCCAGCCTCGAATGAACCATTATTCCCTGCAAAAAGAGACCAAAGAAAAGACCCTCATCAGCACTTTTCTTTTGTTTAGTCGTACGTAGTCCATATTAAAAGCGTACATTTTTTCAGCCCACTGAGAAGCACGGTGCTGGATTCCCTTTCTCTAAATCTTTTCGACAACATATTGATAAAATCATATGATTGTTGATAGTAGATAGTAGATGTACTGCAACTCCGTGGTTGCGACCAATTTCCAAACATTGCTAACTCTGGCTCCAGCTAGGCTCTTGCTAAGATGGCGAAACACAGTTTGTGTGACCCAATATATACTTCTTTCATTTGAATAATATGCACTGAACAGGTAATATTGGTACGTGGAGATAATAAAATTTTGGACAACCACTTCGATATAAATGAAGTAAACTTTCAGATATTTTTTTCTACAGGTTTCTGGTGCACACTCAAACCTCATGCCATAGTATCCATTATTTATAGCTTTTACCCTCTATATACACAGCCATTAAGTAATTTTAGCTGAATCCGAGTTTTAGTTGATATTTTGCTAAAAGTTATTCTGCCAGTCGATTTCCTGAATAATATCGGGGATGATTTAGATTTTATGGCTATTATCTATGGAGTAGATTCTTATAAGGCAGTTCAATGTGCGAGAGGATAAATAGATATGATCGTGCTACATATTATTTATGGCTTCAAGAAATCTGAAATTCCCGTTATTCTTCTAGCTGAGCATCAGCGCTTATTTCAGAAAGGGATTGTACATGGAATGAGCAGCTTTCTAGCAAACTGTACGACCATTTTCTGGAGTCTATGTGAGTCTCAAAAGAATAAGTATCAGCTACATTTGCACTCTACCATCTTTTTTACACTTAATGATCAGGAATTTATATTTTCAATAAGTAGCACAAACAGTCTCTCAAAGCGCATTCCTGTCCTATTATAAAGTTTTGGAATCCTGAAATATTGTGTAAATATTTCCTCAGCGGCCTCCAAATTCGCTCTGATCGTTCTTTCTCAGAGGCTCCACCTGATTTGCTTTGCTTAGAATTCCATTTGTTTCCCCCCCGAAGCCATGGCTTATTGCTTCGTCAAATCGAGTAACTTCAGCCGACATTTCCTCGCGGTCGGAGGTTTCTCTAGCTTTAAGTTTCGAGGCAGGTGATGGGCTGCTCGGAGTCGCTTTGTCTTGAATCCTCAAGTTCCCGAGTTAGCGAAAAAATATCCCTCGCCCGAATATGAATAAGAATTTTATTAAAGTCCCTTCTGAGCCTAAGACTATCAAGGAGCCCTTCGCCCGAAGAAAGATGGTCAGAAGTATGACTGGATGCTAACTATGCCGTATTCCTAGCAAAATAAGGCTTTCTTCCGCTTTAAGGCTTGGCGAGCCCCAGATACCACGAGTCTTTTGAGATTGTCTGGTGACACTTACCAAATTGACCGTGATTAGACGGCATGACAGCTGCCCTCGTCTGCTGCCCTTCGTAGCTGTATTTCACGTCATCATCAGCTGTTTTTCACCTAATCCAACTGTCCATAGCCTTACGCTACTTACATTGTATTTTCACCGCCCGGCTCAGTATCCATCAATAATGTATCCTCAGGACCTGATTTTTGAGTCTCTTCCTTTCTATCCTCCGTGATAGAATCCATATCACTCTAATAGCAAGATAGCTGGAGGTGAGTGTTGTATAGATTTTAGTTTCAGATATAAGAATTTCCAAAGGTAGTAAGCCTGGTTGTAATTATGGAGTTATTCTGTCGAAGTCTGAGATAGAGAGACAAGAAAACGACTTGTGCTTAGTTTAAATACAGAACGAAGAACAGCAAGAACAACCGTATTTTATGATGACGTTGATAAATTTACTTAGCGAGCACATGATACTTTTAGAATGCTTTGATACGAAGGGGTACTAGGTTACGCTTTCTTTACATGTCTGACAATAAAATTAGGCATTTTTGAGTAAGCATGTATAAGAGAGACAGTCAGTATCTTTACCCAGAAATTTTTATTTCACAATTTTATTTCCAGAATAATTATTAGTGTCATCTTAATTCAATGCCCAGCCTGTCAACAAGTTCGGATTTAACGTTATCATGTAATTTATTTGCCTCGGCGCTGGTTAGCGTCTTTTCTAAACTCCGATAATTGATTCTGTAACACCAGCTAATTCTTCCAGTCCTCGGATGCTGAAATTCGTCAATTTTTTTTACATCCTCGACAACATCACCAGCAATATCTCTTACAACCTGCATAATGTCGTTTTCGTGAGTTCTATCAGCCAAGTTACTGCTCTTCGTAACCTCACCGTCAATAATCCAAAATGATACGTCTTTGTAGGTTGCAGGATATTTTGAAAACGGCTTAAACCTCCTGATTTGGTTTATATTTTGGCTTAGACCCTCGAATTGATTCAAGAATCGTTGGTCCTGGCACCAAAAGAGTCGGATATCGGGAATTTCGAAGAGTAACATTGCAATTCTTTCCAGTCCAATTCCAAAAGCCCAACCTAGTCGATTTGGAACATCTGCATTGATAAGAATGTTTTGTTTGACGATTCCACAACCAAGAACTTCAAGCCAATCTCCCTGCCAAAATATTTCAAGCTCCCAGGAGGGTAACGTGAAAGGAAAGTATGTTTCTACCCATCGGATTCTCAACGGTTCGTCTGTAAGCCGTGACTCGGTAGGTGCTCCTAATTTAGCCCGCGAAAATACCTCTGCGATTACGAGCTCAAGACTTCGCTTGAGATGAGCTGTCATAGCTTCTACTTCCTCGGATAGATGCGTCTTTTGTATAGGATTACGCTCATGATGCATAAAGCCTGTAGAATCTTCAACCTTCATATTGTGACTCGGGAGCTTTTCGAAATCTTTCCATATATTAGATATTGTTTCTTTATTATGAACACCGCTACGCTCCCAAGTCCGCGCTCCCTCCATTTGATGAAATATCGGGTAATGACTTTTGTCAATTGCATCTCGGCGATACACGTCTGCACTGATTAAGTAACCTGCACTGAGATTTTTGCGGAAGACATCAGTTTGATGTGCCGAGGTGTGTGTCCGAAGGAGCGTGGTGGAGTTAATGTAATAGGTATCTGTCTTGGAGCGGCCAGGATGATTAGGGGGAAATCCAAGAGAGTCAAAGTTTTGATGCACACTGACAACAGGTGAGAATTCATTGTAGTATCTAAAAGTTGGATGTGGGAAACACGATTCAATTAGAGAACGGGTTATGGATATAGGGTGATCCAACTCTAGATGAAGGCGACGCAGGGTAGAAGACGCAATCTTAGGGGACACATTAGTCCACGAGTCAGTTGGATACGAGGTGCCGTTAACAATTGTATTTCCAGATGCTTTTATCTCAATTAGAGGACGATTGGTCAAGGGCTAAGGGATAGATAACGCGCCTGAAGAGATGCTGCGACGAGGTTCGAGACCTGTTCCACTCTTATAAAAAACGGCGTGATTACACTTGGTGGAAAAACTATATGTATCAAAACATATGGGTAAACGGCGAAGGATCATACGTAATTGCATTGTTGCAGGCAAGTTTGCTATTTGGATCCGTTGATTAACATATTAGATTATTCCAAGCATCCCACACGGTCCCAAGATATTCCGTTCCGAAAAGCTTGCGCTGGCCCCATTTGTATGAAAGCTTATGTCCTCATGACTGAACTAGTATCTCGCCGCAGGACGGCCCGTAAACAAGGAGCAATTATCCTTGACGAAAAGTCTGCATCTCGGTCGACGCGATCCAACTACGTGTCTGACACCTTAAAGCCACCCGTTGACTTGGTTGGCCGTTGTACTGGACAGCACCAGCCACGACAACCTCAACCGAAGGAGCGCCACGCGATATGGCCAGGGAGCCCGCGCCGAAACTGATGATGTCGTCGTCGTCAACACTGCCCTCGACGATCTCTCCACCGACATCTGCGATTGGCGAGAGGCCGGTTAAGTATCCGTTTTGGTTTGGTGGTAGTTCGAGCTGTCTCGCCGCGTGCGGCACGCACCCGTTTGATTTGGGTGAGTCTCCCTACGCTACGTTCCAAGTATGAGGTTGAGGACTAACAGAGCGCCTCAGTCAAGGTAATCTTTGCCCAACCTACTTCCCCAAAGCAGTAGAGCCTCTAACTAGAGTACCCCTAGGTCCGCATGCAAACCCGTAAACACCCCGAGGCACCCCGATCTATGATGGCCACTTTTGCATATATCTTACGCCATGAAAGAATCCCTGGGCTGTACAATGGCCTTCCGGCCTCTCTCGTCCGACAGATGACCTATTCAACCACTCGCTTTGGCATGTATGAGTCTCTCAAGTCAAACCTCTCGCCCCATGGCACCCCTATGACCCACTTACTGGCAATTGCCTCCATCTCTGGCTTCGTCGGCGGTATCGTGGGAAATCCGGCGGACGTGTTGAATGTGCGTATGCAGCACGACACAGCCCTCCCATTGAGCGAAAGGCGAAACTATAGGAGCGCACTAGATGGCCTATTACGAATGAGAAGAGAGGAAGGTTGGAAGAGTCTTTACAAGGGTGTATGGCCGAACAGCCTCAGGGCCATGCTTATGACTGCGTCTCAGTTAGCCTCATATGACGGCTTTAAGCAAGCGCTCATGGAACACACCCCCCTAGAGGATAGTCTTACTACCCATTTCTCTGCTTCCCTTCTAGCAGGCTTTGTTGCTACGACCGTATGTAGTCCGATCGATGTCATTAAGACACGGGTCATGAGTTCTAGTACCAATAGAAGCTTCTTACAGCAGCTGCTTGACATTTGCCGCAACGAAGGTATAGGATGGGCACTACGAGGCTGGGTGCCCAGCTTTATTCGACTTGGACCACAAACAATCTTTACGTTTTTATTCCTCGAACAACACAAAAGGATCTACAAACAAGTTATTTGCTGACAAAGAGACTCGTTAAAAATTTTCACATCTTAATTACTCGCATGGACTTGGTACTTTAGTCTGTTACAAAAATGCTTTAATTGTAGAAAGGGTTGACGGTGTTCCGGGAGGGGGCATTTTTGATGGACGAGGTTCTGATGGGGTTAACATGAAAGGTTTCGTACGGATGAGAGATATAATTAATGGAATAGAATAGGTATGATAATTCAATTACTGATGAGCCCTTGACCTCTAGTTTCTTTTTTTCCCCAATTCTATGACCCTTGGACAACAGAACCCAAGCCTGATTATTCCTCCAACGCCTTCTGTCCTCGTAAATGGATTAACATTGATGGTGTACATGGTGAGACATCCGAGCGGTCTCTGAGATAAATTTTCGTTGGTGCGCTATATTTTTGTGAGTGTGTAGTGAATGGTTGCCAATCATTCTAATTAAAGCGATACCACAACAGTAGCCAGCAATTAGGAGGCTTAAGGTAATTACCAAAATGGCTCTAAGGGTCGTAGCTGAGCTACTTTCATGAATATTTGCTGGAATCAACTAGTATCCATTTTGGCCATACGGGGTGGCACCATAAGGAGTTGTAGAGCCAGCCCCCCATTGTCCAGCTTGACCTCCACTACCAAAAGGGGTTGTATAGCCTTGGTCCTGCCATCCTAAACCATTCATATTTTCTGGGCTTCGTGGCGCATCGTATCCATTGAGACCGATCGCGTTTGGTCCGTCTCCTCCTTCTGTAAGATCCTTGATTACACTTGCTAATTTTTGTTGGAGAACTTTTATACCTTGTTGGATAATCTGATCTGGTTCCAGATTACCGGCACCCTCAACTTCGAAGTAGAAACGCTCGGGCGCTGCATCGTAATCGAATGGTTCACCTTCTTGCGGTGGCTCCTCCCATGACGCATAGTTACTCTTCGGCCTAGTACGGGTGAGTGAAGATTTGGGTGGGCTCATAGTAAAAACTTACCATTCCTTAGCTGCATCATGCTCGTACCATAAATCTGTATGCCGCAGTTTATTGTGAGGATCGTATTCAAAGCCAACGGCAGCACAGGGAGACCATTTTGCATGTTCTTTAGCAATTCCCTTTTTCGCGATACATTTCATCCTGAGTTCTTGGCCTTTTCTAAGTTTGCAAATGACTGTTCCTAGGCCTTCGGGGTCCGTAATAACAGGATTCCCAACCCATGGGTTTGCCCTCGTATTGTCCACCACCAAATCACGCGCGTATACTTTCATTATTTCATCGCTCGTACATTTTGCCTGTAATGATAGAGTGACGCTGCAGAGTTCGCAATATTGGTCACACTCGCAATCTCGGGAATAAATAACGTCGTCGACATTTTTGGATATTAGAGGGATGAGACCGATACGATGAGAGAGAAGTTCGTCGGGCAGGACTGAAGTATTCGCTTCTACCTCAACGATATCAACTGCGAGGGTCGGGACCTCAGCCAGCACGACGCGGCGCAGCGAGTTGGCAAAACCGAGATCAACATTCTGTAGTTCGAAGTTGACATGATTTGGACCGGCCTACAATTGCATAAGCCCTGTAGATGTGGCGTGGGCCAAGTGTCTTTGTTACCTGATGAATTTTAACTGCTGGACCCACGTTCTCCGTGTCCATTACCATAGGATCATAATCCATCTTGAGAGTCGGAGGTCCCAAATCGGGCCACGGCACAAGATGCAAGTTTGATTCGGTACAGCCCCTCTGTGTACGCGCGCTATGAGACGGTTCAGAACCTTGAGAATTGTAACGTTACAAGGCTGAGGAGGCGCCAGGCAGGTGGAAACGCACAAGTTGCGTCGCAAAGACGATGAATAAAATTTGTTCTTCTGACCGGTGTCACGTGCTATGGTCAGGGAGTAGCGCTGGAGCCGATAAATCACTGCAAAGGACGGAAGGCGTGGGTGTGATGATGAAAATTACGTATTGAAACGGACGCGTTGGATTGGATTTTTCACGGATATTGTTCAAAGAGGAGGTCACGAGCTGGGATAAAGAAGAACGCGCGCGCGATGGCCAGAGACAGGCAACGAAGGAGAGGTTGGGGCAGGGGTTGAGCTAGTTCTAGCACTACAGTGTTCGGGAAAGGTTGCTTGTCTATGAAAGGATGAGCTGCAGATGTGAGGCATTGCTCCGCTCAGATGCCAACTAGACGGTAGGCAGGTCAAACTCGCATCATCTTATGCTTTCCGAAATCCGTCCGGACGAGGAGATTGACGGAATTAATACTCTATTGCCGGCGAGGGTTAAGGGGAGGGGCAGAAGGGATAGGAATGAGGAAATCTAGTGGAATACATCGCTCGCTGAGAGCTGCGCCCTTTTCCAATCCTGATCAGAGTACTGTAGAATCATTTCCTTGGTTGGCTCAGCTGGCCGTGTTAGAATGATGTAAACAATGGACGGGCGAAAAATGGAAGGAGGCTGAGTCGACATACGATCCGGTCAAAGATTCGGCGCTTGATCCTCCATAGCCACCCCCATCATCCCTGACACCAGCGGCCCTCCGGTGGTGGCAGCTTGGAGACAAAAAGCAATGTATTAGCGTTAGTTTAATTGCACTGCTAAGCCTCTTTTGCCTGTTGTCCGGAGGGATAAGCATAACTTATACCATGCCGTCACACGTGCCATACGTTGTATATGAGTTCCCCTCCATCCCAAATCGGCCATTCTAAGAAACCAAAACTTCTACCACGTCAACTATCTTGCCGACTCAGTCTACTCCTGCCTCTTCCTATTCGTCCAATTCACTTCTATCGCTAGCTAGCTAACAACCTACGGCTTCCCACCATTTCACCAACTACAACATTAGAAATGTCTACAGAATCTACACCACGATCATCGCGCCCGAGGTCGCGTGCCTCACGGAAATCTTTAACAATAGACCTGTCGTCACTACCACCTCCAAATCTCCCAACTCCTCCTTCAAACACCCTGATCATCACAAATCTATACAACCCACTGGTCTTCAGCGTCAGCAGCTTACAAGAAATCAAGACACTCATCAACAATGCTGCTCCTATCCACTCCTGGGCTCCACTCAAGTCGTTTCACCGTATCATCGTCTCCTTCATGGATATTGACGCCGCAACACGGATCCGCCAATTACTCGATGGAAAAGTCATCATGGGAGAGAAAGTTCGAGTGTACTTTGGCCAGTCTACGTCTATTGAACCCAAAGAAGAGCACCTAAACCTTCCTGATGCGGGCAAACTATTTTTCATCTCGCCACCTCCTAGTCCCCCACATGGATGGTCAGCAAAGCTTGAAGACGCTCCGAATAAGCAGGTTATGGCTGAAGATTTAGTTGAAGCCCTCTCCAAGTTGCACGCAGGATCCGGTCCCTGTTTTCCAGACAGCCCTATCAGTGACCAGTGCCGCACTACAGAGATTCGTACCCGAAGTGGCAGCTCAACCACAATCTACCGACCAGAGGAACACGGCTGTAGTCCAAATCTACCTGCCATTAATGTAGAGGACACGACAGGTGATGAATCTGAAATCAGTCCAATTGAGGAAGAAAAGCCAATTTTTGCGCACACCTTCCGCCCCCCGGTGGAATTAATGCAAATCGGTGAATAGATTAATGCCTACAGTAGGCTTGGTATAGGGCGTTATGGAGTAATACGGTGCTGGGGTTTAAAGGTTGTATGAACTTCCGTTAATACGGGACTCAGTAGAGCGCTCTGTAGCTGAAATGTTTTTGTTAAATGATCGGACTTTATTAAATGTCCTAAAATTCATAGCGAAATTAAAATCTTATCTGAGAATTTCAAGTTGTCCCTATTTGCTTGAGACCACTATCACAACATTCTAGGCATCCAGGTGATCTCTAGATCATATGAAGTAGGCCGTAGTCTATACTAGTTGATAACAGGCTACAATTAAGTTAGAAATTCTCCTCAGCAACCGAATGGATCCTTTGGCTCATGCCCATGACCTGAATCAATAGATGGGATATTATGTGTGATGGATTAAAGCATGAATTAATGAGCAATTCCAAATGCTTCCTCTAACCTCAGCAAATTTATCATGCGGCTAATTACTTCGTATCCTTATACTCCGAGTATCGATGCCATTAGAATCTGTTGTATGTAAAGTAAGACACAAGGTTTAAGCTGGGATAAGAAGGACTGAAGGCCGTTGAGATGATCATTTGACGGGGCTCCCCTGTCAATGCTTCCGAGCTTTGCCATAACCTTAACTCCACGACAACCTAGAGAATGACAATTTGTGCATCAAGGAACTCATCACCCTAGCACATACCCCAGCATTGTAACCAGAAAATGAAGTCGCAAAGACTAGTCTTGAGACTAGCCTGTATGTAATCTCTTCGCAACAGAGGGGAATCCATGTAGGTTTTCTTAGCCTCGAGACTCTCATATTCCTGTCATCGGGGAGATGCTTGAAATGTGTAACAGAGCAGCATGTTCCTGTTCCCTCCGAGCACCCCTGATTCAACGACACCTGTACCACTGAGTATTGCCTCGCTAGCAGCCGAAAATTGTGGGGAAATATTGGGATGTTGCCGTTGTCTCCATCATTTCTCTTCTCACAGTTAGTGTATGAGCAGCTTGGGCTTGTATTGCCCTCGAGGCAGGAGATAGCTACTTTGAATACACCAAGGCTTATGCTCATGTGTGGCATGTCAGAGGCATTCTTGGATGACCTATAGTTTGAAACTTCTACTTTGTCAATTCACGGACGAGGGGCGACTATTTGATGTAAATATCTATGCATCATGATGCTAATTGCGATTGACATTCCCGTTTTGAGTGTCTTTCATGGCCGAGATCGCTTAACAAGTACATAAGCTGCTGATGTTTTGACAGGACGAAGGTTGATCATGTAGTAACAATGTCGTCCTGGGACTTGAAACTGAAATGCTCTACCGGTGCCGAGGTATGATTGTAATGTCGCACTGACGGTAAGATTGTTGGAGGAAAATTGGCGTTTGGATGTGGATGGATGAGGAATCAGAGATTATTTGTTTTAGTTTGTTGTTTGATTACAAACCGACGTATCAGATACATAGCATCCCCAGCCGACCTTGAGCTCGCAAGAAGCCGGGCCAAATCAGGAAAATAGTCTAGAGAGAACATCTGTGGCTCGCCCCACCGATACGGCCCGAGTCGCGCCAAGTCGGATATGTGTGTTACAGGCTGGGCCCGGTTTGTTGTGGCTGGGCTGTGTATGGCTACAGAGCCCCTCATATTTGGGCGCCAGCAAGTTTGTTTGTTTGTTTTTAATTTAACGTCATGCAAGCTAACAATGCAACCATAAGGTCTCGTGGTGACCAGCTCAGTTTACATAAACCTCCAGAAGTGCCGGATCTTGTTACTAGTCCCGACATATAATCCTCGGGCCAGGTCCACCCTGTCTTACGCTCCATACTGTCAAAATCAGGGCGAAGACTGAACACCTTTACGCGGTTTCCTCTACGAACCTGGGGGTGAAATATTCTTCCAGAGCCAAGTTCAGTCAAATTTCGCATTATCAAAGAAGTTGGCCCACGAGGCAAAAATTAAAATTACTCCACCACGTCGTTTTTTCGCTCCCAACGAGTTTGACTCCAACCTAAGCCTCATCAAGTCTAGAAGTATGACCAAGTACATCCTCATCTCAATGACCACACCTCTCTTCGACCTTCTCTGGTCTCAGTTGACCACCAAATACACGCCCACGCCGATATTTACTCCCGCTGGAGGAAGCAAAGCCTGGCGCACAAATCTGGGAGACAGCTCTTTGGGATGGACGTGAAAGGGATTAGGACATGTTGACAAGATGATACGAAAGAAGGATATTACCTCGAAGGACATGAAATTCCGAATTTTGGCAAGAGTTTTACAAATTGGGCTTTGTGCGCGCCAAGACTTCGCTTGCGAGAGTGCAGCTGATACTACAAAAATTAGCAAACGATGGAAGGTGTTATGGTCCGCCTCCTGGCGGTGTTCTCCGGTATAGTCTGAGTGGGCTGGGCACCTACGCCACTTGGGAAGGAGACGCCTTAGACTAGATTTCGCGCGGAGAAAATTCAGTGGATGATGATGGCATGTCTGGATAACTAGGGTTTTTGAGAAGTTCCCCTTGGTAGGTTTTCACGGATGAAGGTTGACATGGGGTGAGGAAAAAGCCACCATAACTCCGCAGTGGCACTTCCAAATGAAATCCGAGGCATGAGTACTCTTCTTGTAAATTGAGTCATCTTTTCTGTACTTTTCTTTGATATTGTGTCATGGCTAGAAAGCTGCATACGCAATTAAAATCTGATGCAAAAAAAAAAATAGTCTGTGATTCAAGTAGTTCAATAAACACACACACACATACAATTTTTTGAAATTCGAATTTTCGAATATTCACCCTTTCCCCCTCTTCCCCACCCCCTCGATATCGTGATATCGTTCGCGCTCAATTCAAAATTTGTGAGCGACTGGTAGGTTGTCAAAATGCCCCCAGTTCGCAGTAAACCATCGCGGGCGAAAAACATCGCTGAAAACCGCAATTACATCAAACACACCGTTCGAAGAAAACTACGTGACAAGCTGGGTACCCTGACTCCAGGTCAAGAAATGGGAATTGACCAGTTGGTCGACGACAGAGCTCTAGATGACACGATGTTAGATGTTAGCGATGTTGACATTGATAAGATCCTCAGGGATCTGAAAAGACTTCCCGATTCTATTCACTCCAAGCCAGATGCGACCGGAGCTGAAAAGGCAACGATTTCTCAAAAAAAGCCAGCAACTGCGACTACACAGCAGCAGAAACTGCCTCTGATAAAAGTCGCCGTGCCATTGACAATGGCAGAGAAAACTGGCGACACCAGCAAGAACAACCTGAGTTGCTCTTCGATTGACTCAGGTCCTATGGCAGCCTCAACAATTAGAGAAGCCCCCGAACCCAAACTGAAATCATCCAACGAAACTGACACTGCAGCTAGCGATGAATTCTGCCCCGAAGAGCTGAGAGCTGTAGTAGAAGCCGAAAAGCAAAGGGTTGCACAAAAGTCTGCTCAGATTCTGTTATGCACATCGGCCATAAGAGGCGTGGAGGCCGTACTCTCCCCGATGGCCACGGGCGACAATAAAGTATACGTCGAATCAATGAAGGCTTATTTGCGTGCAGCAATTGGCCATTTTATCAACTCGGGCCCGGAGTCTACACCACCATCTCTCCCCCAACGCCCCAACGCTGTATCCCCAAGGGTCCCATCTCCAAAGCCCACAGTAGAGAACAAGCCCATGGTGCGCGCCCAGGGAAACACATGGGCAGGAATTGCTAGATTAGGGCTGCAAAACGATGCAGGGAGAATCAACACAAAGATGGCAGCATTCCCGCAGAACGTACAAAAAACGAGGCCGAAAGTAGAGGCAGACGATCGGCTTTTCATCCGCCTACAGGACACACACGAGTGGAGACGTCTCTCCCCATCTGGTATACGCGAAGCTATAGCAATGCAGACCAAATGCGCGCCATCGGATGTGGAACACGTACACCGTGTCCCCACAGGTTTTGCTATACGCGCCATAGACTCTGATGCAAAGAATCGGCTAATGGAAGCGTCAGATACACTGAATATACTGGGTGCAAAATTGGAGAAACCATCCGAAATAGTTGCCCTCCGCATTGCCACAGTTCCAACAGCAGTTTACACGCTAGATGGAAAAATACAGGTCAGCCCGGAAATGGTGGCCACGGAAATAATAAGAGTGACAAAATGTACCCCGACAAAAGTTCGAGTCCATGGCAAAGGAAAGCTCGGGGCCCCATACCAAGAGTGGCTCGCTCACTTTCCAAAAGGATCGTCGCCAAAGCCCGGATTAAGGCTTTTCGACGACTCGGGTATAGCAACAGTACACCGGCCACAAGCCCCTGTGCTGCAATGCAAACGCTGCCTCGGATTCCACCCCACCCGAGCTTGCTCTCGTGCGCCTGCCTGCTGGAATTGTGGATCCACGATGCACATCTCTGCCGAATGCAAGGCAGCTACTAAATGCAGGAACTGTGCAGGACCGCACAGATCAGACAGCCGAAGATGCTTGGCTCGGCCTACAAAATCTGGTCAGCCCACAAAAGAACAGCTTGTGACCATTCGACAAGCTAGCCAGCGGGAATACAGCGCCGTGGCCAGAGCAAAAGCGGCTGTAAATCTAGCAAACAAAGCATCAGCCAGTGCCATCAAGAGCCAAGAGATCCTGAAAAGGATGGCTACCAGCACAGACGCACCAGATGCAGCCATGGTTGATGTGTCAGGCTATGGGGCTCTAAACCCCGAAGAAAATTTGTAAGGGCCGCCCACAGGCCCCAACTTGCGCACCTTCTACCCTCATATACATGTCAATAAACGTTGGTAGAAGCGGCGCAACCCACGACATCGCACTTTCCCGGGCTCACGAGCTAGGTGTAGATGTTGTACATATACAGGAACCTTCGTGGGATAGAAATATGAAGGATACTAGGTCGCACCCAGGATATAATAAACACATACCCCATGGAGGCGTTGATATCAGACCAAGAGCGGCAATATACACTCGAAAAAGCAAGGTAATAACTGCAACGCAGACATTTCCCTGTGCTACATT